TATATAATATGTGTCTGCAATATATTATATTATAAAATATCATAATATATGTATATACAATATATATTATATTAGAATATATACAATATATTTTAATATTATATTATTAGCATTGCACAGAAGACAAGGTGGAGCTTTAGTGTCCTCCTCCCCCTCTTCCCTCAGAATTCTGGGAAATGTAGTTCCAGGCTGAGTTTTGTTTGGCTATTCCGGGCCTAAGAGAGAATGGCAAAAAGACTACATTTCCCGGCACCCCCTTCGGTTGTGCCGAGTGCTGACCTCTCTCTGCTTGTAGGCGGGCAGGAGCCGGGCGGCGGCGTCGGCGAAGAGGCGCTGGTAGCGGGGGGCGTTCTCGCAGGCTGATTCCGCCAAGGCCGGGTCCTCCTCGGCCACGTCGTCCAGGTCCACCCGCAGCGTGGAGGCCTCGCGGTGCGCCAGAAGGGTCTGGCCGCGAAGGGAGACGGGAGAGAGGGTTAGCAAGGGCAGGGAGCCTCCGGGGAAGTCTCCCCGCCGCCCCGGGCACAGACTCACCAGCTGCTCCCGGTAGGGGAAGCGCTTCCCGGCCTGGTCCGAAGGGAGAGAAGAGGAAGAGCTGGAGAAGAATCCCTCCAGGAAGGACGCCGCCTTGTCTGATAGGAAAACAGGGAAAGAGAGCGTCAGCCAAAGGGAGAGAGAGAGAGGCCTTTCCTCCTCGTCCCCGCCGCCTCCTCGCTCCTCTCACCCATCTCGGCGTCGTAGTCCCCGCGTAGGCCCAGCTTCTCGCCGCCTTTTCCCGACGCCATCCTGCCTTCTCCTCTTCTGACTGCTTTTTCCCGCGCGCGGGAAAAGGAGGCGCTGCTCCGATTGGCCGGCTCGACCTGACTCAGCCAATCCCCGCCCTCCTTTCTGTCAATCCCCGCCTTCCTTCCTTGTTAGCCACGCCTGATTTTTTTTCCCGCGCTAGCCAAGATTGAGATAATCCGATTGGTCCGCGCGGTTCCATCTCACAGCCAATCCCTGCTCGGCTTTGCGCGAAAGGGAGGAGACTCTTCCACATCTCCCACACACGTGACGCAACACCTCGGAACCAATCCCAGCTCGTCTTTGGAAGGATAGGGCGGGGACTCGATTCAATAGGCCACGCCTCTATGTGAAGCAACGCCCCGCAGCCAATCCTTGCTTGGCTATGCAGAAAGGGGCGGAGACTTGCTCTTATACAGGCCACGCCTCTACGTGAAGCAACGCCCCGCAGCCAATCCCTGCTCGGCTATGCAAAGAAGGGCGGAGACTTATCCGTATGCAGGCCACGCCTCTATGTGACGCAAACCACTCAACCAATCCCAGTTCGTCTTTGAAGGGAAGGGCGGGGAAACTTTATGCAGGCCACGCCTTTACGCCCCGCAGCCAATCCCTGCTCGCGTTTGGAGAGAAGGGCGGGGACTCGTCGTTCTCTAGGCCACGCCTCCAAGTGACGCACAACTCCGCAGCCAATCCCTGCTCGCGTTTGGAGAGAAGGGCGGGGACTCGTCACTCTCTAGGCCTCGCCTTTATGTGACACCCAACTCCGCAGCCAATCCCTGCTCGCGTTTGTAGGCAGGGGCGGGGACTTGCTATTATAGAGGCCACGCCTCTAGATGACGCAACACCTCGCAACCAATCCCCGCTCGCTTTTTCAGAGAAGAGCTGAAATTCCTTCTTGTATAGGCCACGCCTTTACGTGACGCAGCACCCCGCAGCCAATCCCTGCTCTCCTTTGCAGGCAGAGGCGTGGACTAGCTGTTATACAAACCACGCCTCTACGTGACGCAACACCTCGCAACCAATCACCGCTCGCCTTTGCAGAGAAGGGCGGAAACTCTTCCTTATACGGGCCACGCCTCTTCGTAACGCAGCATTCAACCAATCCCTTTTCCCCTTTACGCGGGAGGGAGGAGACTATCCCTCCTGCAGGCCACGCCTCTACGTGACGCAGCGCCTGTGAGCCAATCCCAGGCGGGAGGGGCGGGACCTCCCACAAGCCACGCCCCCTATTATTTTGCTTCTTACAGGAAGTAGGGCCAAAGAGAGTGCTCCGGGGCGTGTGCAGAGTGTTTCCTGGAGGGCCGAGGATGATCTCGGAGGTGTTCGTGCTCTCCTCGCAAGGGGACCGGCTCCTCTACAAGGACTGTATCCTTCCTGAGACAGAAGGGGAGGGACTTACTTACTCTTCACTCTTTCACCCTCCATTCATCGCTCTTCAAATTCTGCAGCACTGCTGGTCACAGCTGACCTCCAGCTGGAGCGCTCAAGGGCCAGGACTTCCCAGTTCTCAGTGTCTATGCCAGAGTTTTTAAGGTTGGCTTTGAGCCCATCTTTAAATCTCTTTTCCTGCCCACCAATATTCCATTTTCCATTCTTAAGTTCGGAGTAGAGCAACTGCTTTGGGGGACGGTGGTCAGGCATCCGGACAATGTGACCAGCCCAGCGGTGTTAATGGCAGAGGACCATCGCTTCAATGCTGGTGGTCTTTGCTCCTTCTCCCATCATGCTGACGTTTGTCCGCTTGTCTTCCCAAGAGATTTGCAGGATTTTCCGGAGGCAGCACTGATGGAATTGTTCCAGGAGTTGCATGTGACGTCTGTAGACAGTCCACGTTTTGCAGGCATAGAGCAGGGTTGGGAGGGGAATAGCTCTATAAACAAGCCCCTTGGTCTCCCTACGGATGTCCCAGTCCTCAAACACTCTCTGTTTCATTCGGGAAAATGCTGCACTCACAGAGCTCAGGCGGTGGTGCATTTCAGTCTCAATGTTGACGTCTGTAGACAGTCCACATCTCGCAGACGTATAGCAGGGTTGGGAGGACAATAGCTTTACAGACAAGCACCTTGGTCTCCCTACGGATGTCCCGGTCCTCAAACACTCTCTGCTTCATTTGGAAGAATGCTGCGCTCGCAGAGCTCAGGCGGTCGATTTTGACTTTGGTGGAGAGGTGGCTGCCAAGGTAGCGGAAATGGTCAACATTTTCTAATGTTACACTATTAAGCTGTATCTCTGGCATTGGAGAGGGATTGGCTGGTGACTGCTGGAACAGCACTTTGGTTTTCTTGATGTTCAGTGACAGGCCAAGCTTCTTGTATGCTTCTGCAAAGGTGTTGAGAGTGGCTTGTAGATCTTCTTCTGAAGGGGAGGGACAGAGGGGGAGGGACCTGGCCCCGTTGCCCTCCTTGACCCTCTGCGCCCAGTCCGCGGGGAGGGACACCCCGGCCTCGTGGAGGACTTCTTCCGGAAGGTGACGGCGCTGCCTCCTGACCAGGCCCCGGTCTTCATGGTGAGAAGGGGGTCAAGGCCAAGGGGGAAGCACCTGACGTCACTCACCCTCTGACATCACGCCCTTCTGACGTCACACCCTCCCTTTCTCCTGCAGGAGGCTTGCCCCCCGGGCCTCCACTTCGCGCATGTGCGTCATGGGGGGCTCTACTTCGTGGCCACCATCCCTTCCAAAGCTTCGCCTTTTGCAGCACTGGAGTTCCTCAACAGGTCAGTCGGGGGTGGGGCTAAGAGTGAGGCCACGCCCACTGCACAGCTAGGCCACACCCCCATAATGATAATGATAATATTGTATTGTCGAAGTTGAAACATTCACACCTAGCTCCAGCAGACAAGAGTCCTTTGTCCCATGGTCTAGAATGCCATATAGCCCGTAAATAACCTACAACAACCCAATAATAAACTTTATTTAATACCCTGCCACTATCTGGTTGGAGTAGTTTGCAGTGCCTTTCATGTTCCTGAGAACACAGAAATGCTGGACCACGCTCACAACCACCATGTCAGGCTACACAGAGAAGCCATTGAAATCCACAAGAAGCATGTGGACCATTTCAACAGAAAGGAGGAAACCATGAAAATGAACAAAATCTGGCTACCAGTATTAAAAACCTCTAAAATAACAACAGCAAAACATCAGAGAGGAAACAATCAGGCACATCAATTCACTCTCAACAAGAGATTCCCCCCGGGCACTTCAAAGCCATTGAATGCTAATCAAGGTGATCAGCTGAAACATTACCCTGGTCTTTCCACAGATATATAAACCCATTTTCCTAATTCCAAACAGACCTCACTACCTCTGAGGATGCTTGCCATAGATGCAGGCGAAACGTCAGGAGAAAAATTGCCTCCAGAACATGGCCATATAGCCCAGAAAAACCTACAACAACCCAATGATAATATTAATCAACTTTGTATTGTCGAAGGCTTTCATGGCCGGAATCACTGGGTTGTTGTACGTTTTTTTGGGCTCTATGGCCATGTTCTAGAGGCATTCTCTCCTGACGTTTCACCTGCATCTATGGCAAGCACCCTCAGAGGTAGCGAGGTCTGTTGGAACTAGGAAAAAGGGTTTATATATCTGTGGAATGACAAGGGTGGGACAAAGGACTCTTGTCTGCTGGAGCTAGGTGTGAATGTTTCAACTGACCACTTTGATTAGCATATAATGGACTGACAGTGCATGGAGCAATCTTTTGTTGAGAAGTGATTAGATGTCTTTGTTTGTTTTCTCTCTGTTTCTGTTGTTGTGCTGTTGTAATTGGACAATGTCAACGGAAAGGAGGAAACCATGAAAATGAACAAAATCTGGCTAGCAGTATTAAAAAACCCCAAAATTACAACAGCACAACAACAGAGGAAATCAACAAAGACATCTAATCACCTCTCAACAAAAGTTTGCTCTAAGCACTGCCAGGCCATTGTATGCTAATCAAGGTGGTCAGTTGAAACATTCACACCTAGCTCCAGCAGACAAGAGTCCTTTGCCCCACCCTGGTCATTCCACAGATATATAAACCCACTTTCCTAGTTCCAACAGACCTCATTCCCTCTGAGGATGCTTGCCATAGACGCAGGAGAGAATGCCTCTAGACCATGGCCATATAGCCCGAAAAAACCTACAACAACCCAATAATAAACTTTATTTAATACCCTGCCACCATCTCTGCTTACTTGAGGCCAAGCCCGACAGCATATGACAATAAAATAAAACCAAAACACAATAACAACACAGTAAAATACATACATATGCGTACCAAGAAAAACCCACAATAAAGCAAAATTATACACAATAAAATAACAATGAGCGGGCCGCATGTGCAAGGTAAAAACTAAAACACTAAAAATACTAAACTTGAGGGAGGCCAACTTGGGCCCTCCCTCCAGGCATTGTGGACTCCAACTCCTACCTTCCTAACACCTGGAAGGAGGGGCGAAGTTGGCCTGTGCCTGCCTAAAATCCTACATCAGGGCCCAGCTAACACCTCCCAACAAAGGATTCCCCCAGACAGGAAGTAGCCAGGCCTTGAAGCTGCAAGGCTACTCAATGCTAATCAAGGTGGCCAATAGCAACATTCACATCATTCCACAGAGAGAGAGAGATAGATAGATAGATAGATAGATAGATAGATAGATAGATAGATATTAGGGCTGGGCGGTTTCGGTCGTTAATTTCGTAATTCGTTATTGATTCGTATTTAAATTAGCTTATTATCCGATATTGAGCCATGCAGGAGCAACTAAAAATTGAAACGAATTTTTCAATTTATTTCGTAATTGTTTTGTAATCGTTTTGTAATCGTTTCGTAATTGTTTCGTAATTATTTCCGTATGTCTGGTGCAAGTTTTATAGTTGTTGTTAGTTTTATCACACCAACAGTCAACAACAGAGGGAGAGGGAAGCTTCAGAAGTTCCCCCTGTCCCATTTGGAGGTTTTTTTTAGCGTATTGCGCAATCGCGTCCGCCATTAACGAATCGATTCGTAATTGTTTCGTAATTTCCGTAAATTTTGAACTTTTTTAAAGAAAAATTTCGGAATTCTTTTAAAAATCGAAACGCAAAACCCCCCTAAAAACGAATCGAGTTTAGAAACAATTTTTTCCGTGGTTTCCCAGCCCTAATATATATAGGTATAGGTATAGGTATAGGTATAGGTATAGGTATAGGGAAGTAGGTATATATATATATATATATATATATATATATATATATATATGATCCCCCCAGGCAGGAAGCAGCCAGGGTTTGAAGCTGCAAGGCTATTCAGTGCTAATCAAGGCGGCCTATAGCAACATTCACACTCGCCTCCAACAGACGAGAGTTCTTTCTTTCTCCCACCCTGGACATATTCCACAGATAGATAGGATTCCCCTGGGCAGGAAGCAGCCAGGCCTTGAAGCTGCAATGCTATTTAGTGCTAATCAAGGTGGCCTATGGCAACATTCACACTTGCCTCCAGCAGACGAGCTTTCTTTCTCCCACCCTGGACATATTCCACAGATAGATAGATAGATAGATAGATAGATAGGATTCCCCCGTGCAGGAAGCAGCCAGGGTTTGAAGCTGCAAGGCTATTCTGTGCTAATCAAGGTGGCCTATAGCAACATTCACACTCGCCTCCAACAGACGAGAGTTCTTTCTTTCTCCCACCCTGGACATCATTCCATATATAGATATAGGATCCCCTCAGGCAGGAAGCAGCCAGGCTTTGTAGGTGCAAGGCTATTCAATGCTAATGAGGGTGGCCAATAGCAACATTCACACTCGCCTCCAACAGACGAGAGTTCTTTCTTTCTCCCACCCTGGACATCATTCCATATATAGATATAGGATCCCCTCAGGCAGGAAGCAGCCAGGCTTTGTAGGTGCAAGGCTATTCAATGCTAATGAGGGTGGCCAATAGCAACATTCACACTCGCCTCCAACAGACGAGAGTTCTTTCTTTCTCCCACCCTGGACATCATTCCATAGATAGATAGATAGATAGATAGATAAATAGATAGATAGATAGATAGATAGATAGATAGATAGATAGATAGATAGATAGATAGATATAGGATTGCCTTGGGCAGGAAGCAACCAGACCTTGAAGCTGCATGGCTATTCAGTGTTGATCAAGGTAGCGAATAGCAACACCCTGGTGGCGCAGTGGGTTGAACCCCTGTGCTGGCAGGACTGAAGACCGACAGGTCGCAGGTTCGAATCCAGTGAGAGCGTGGATGAGCTCCCTCTATCAGCTCCAGCTCCTCATGCGGGGACATGAGAGAAGCCTCCCACAAGGATGATAAAAACATCAAATCATCCAGGCATCCCCTGGGCAACGTCCTTGCAGACGGCCAATTCCCTCACACCAGAAGCGACTTGCAGTTTCTCAGCATGACCATGCTCAATTTTCCAACTTAAGGGAGAGAATGTTCAGGCTGTTAAGGAAGACGTCCAGAGGAGGCCACACCGCTTTCCCAGGCTCTTAGATCCATTGCCAAACTGTGCCTCCTGGGAGAGTGAGGCCCCGCCCATTGTCCCTAACTCCACCCCTTTTGTCTAGATTGGCGGCACTGCTTCGGGACTCCTGCGGGGCCCTGGACGAGAGGAGCGTCTCCCTCAACTTCGCCCTCCTCTACGAACTCTTGGATGAACTACTGGTATGTCACGGTAAAATTTTATTTACTGTATTTGTATACCGCCTTCCTCCTCCTGAGGTGGCAGGCAGATATAATAAGCAACAGCCAGGAGACAGGTGTTTTCAAAGTCTCTTCCTCGGTCCCCTTCCTCGTCTTAGCTGTCTTGGGTGGGGGGAGAGTAGCAGCAGGATTTCCTCCTTCTCCTCCTGAGGTGGCAGGCAGATGTAGTAAGCAACAGCCAGGAGACAGGTGTTTTTAAAGTCTCTTCCTCAGTCCCCTTCCTCCTCTTAGCTGATTGGGGGGGGGGGAAGAAGCAGGATTTCCTCCTTCTCCTCCTGAGGTGGTAGGCAGATGTAGTAAGCAACAGCCAGGAGACAGGTGTTTTTAAAGTCTCTTCCTCAGTCCCCTTCCTCCTCTTAGCTGGCTTGGGGGGGGAGAGTAGCAGCAGGATTTCCTCCTTCTCCTCCTGAGGTGGCAGGCAGATGTAGTAAGCAACAGCCAGGAGACAGGTGTTTTTAAAGACTCTTCCTCAGTCCCCTTCCTCCTCTTAGCTGTCTTAGGAGGGGGAGAATAGCAGTAGGATTTCATCCTTCTCCTCCTGAGGTGGCAGGCAGATGTAGTAAGTAGTAAGCAACAGCCAGGAGACAGGTGTTTTTAAAGTCTCTTCCTCAGTCCCCTTCCTCCTCTTAGCTGGCTTGGGAGGGGGAGAGTAGCAGCAGGATTTCCTCCTTCTCCTGCTGAGGTAGCACATAGATATAGTAAGCAACAGCCAGGAGACAGGTGTTTTTAAAGTCTCTTCCTCAGTCCCCTTCCTCCTCTTAGCTGGCTTGGGAGGGGGAGAAGCAGCAGGATTTCCTCCTTCTCCTCCTGAGGTGGCAGGCAGATGTAGTAAGCAACAGCCAGGAGACAGGTGTTTTTAAAGACTCTTCCTCAGTCCCCTTCCTCCTCTTAGCTGGCTTGGGGGCGGAGAAGCAGCAGGATTTCCTCCTTCTCCTCCTGAGGTGGCAGGCAGATGTAGTAAGCAACAGCCAGGAGACAGGTGTTTTTAAAGTCTCTTCCTCAGTCCCCTTCCTCCTCTTAGCTGGCTTGGGGGGGGGAGAGGAAGCAGGATTTCCTCCTTCTCCTCCTGAGGTGGCAGGCAGATGTAGTAAGCAACAGCCAGGAGACAGGTGTTTTTAAAGACTCTTCCTCAGTCCCCTTCCTCCTCTTAGCTGGCTTGGGAGGGGGAGAGTAGCAGCAGGATTTCCTCCTTCTCCTCCTGAGGTGGCAGGCAGATGTAGTAAGCAACAGCCAGGAGACAGGTGTTTTTAAAGTCTCTTCCTCAGTCCCCTTCCTCCTCTTAGCTCTTGGGAGGGGGAGAGTAGCAGCAGGATTTCCTCCTTCTCCTCCTGAGGTGGCAGGCAGATGTAGTAAGCAACAGCCAGGAGACAGGTGTTTTTAAAGACTCTTCCTCAGTCCCCTTCCTCCTCTTAGCTGTCTTGGGAGGGGGAGAGTAGCAGCAGGATTTCCTCCTTCTCCTCCTGAGGTGGCAGGCAGATGTAGTAAGCAACAGCCAGGAGACAGGTGTTTTTAAAGACTCTTCCTCAGTCCCCTTCCTCCTCTTAGCTGTCTTAGGAGGGGGAGAATAGCAGTAGGATTTCATCCTTCTCCTCCTGAGGTGGCAGGCAGATGTAGTAAGTAGTAAGCAACAGCCAGGAGACAGGTGTTTTTAAAGTCTCTTCCTCAGTCCCCTTCCTCCTCTTAGCTGGCTTGGGGGGGGAGAGTAGCAGCAGGATTTCCTCCTTCTCCTCCTGAGGTGGCAGGCAGATGTAGTAAGCAACAGCCAGGAGACAGGTGTTTTTAAAGTCTCTTCCTCAGTCCCCTTCCTCCTCTTAGCTGGCTTGGTGGGGGGAGAGTAGCAGCAGGATTTCCTCCTTCTCCTTCTGAGGTGGCAGGCAGATGTAGTGACCTGCCTCAAGACAGGACCTAGATCAAAGGGCCGGGGCCTCACTAAAGTGGCAGGTGGAACCCCCCCCCCCCCCACACACACACTTTCACTGGCTCCTTCCCTTCCTTCCAGGACTACGGCTACGTCCAGAGCACGGCCCCCGAGGTGCTGCGGAACTTCCTGCAAGTGGAGCCGGTCCTGGGCCCACGCTTCAGCCTCCTGGACCTCAGCTCCGTGGGGCTGGTGAGTATGGGGCGCCCACTGGTGGAGGGGGGTGGGTGGGAGAGCCCATTGCAGCCTTCCTTGGCTTGTTCTCTGGCCGCAGGAAAGGACTCGAGGGGTCCAGGTGAAAGCTGCCGGCTCTGGGGAAACAGCGCACAGGAGAATGCCTCCCTTTTTCTGTCACTTCCAGACCCATTCACTGGGGACAAAACGATCTTGACAGATTAGAGAGATGGGCCAAAACTAACAAAATGAAGTTCAACAGTGACAAATGCAAGATACTCCACTTTGGCAGAAAAAATGAAATGCAAAGATACAGAATGGGTGACGCCTGGCTCGAGAGCAGTACGTGTGAAAAAGATCTTGGAGTCCTCGTGGACAACAAGTTAAACATGAGCCAACAATCTGATGTGGCGGCAAAAAAAGCCAATGGGATTTTGGCCTGCATCAATAGGAGCATAGTGTCTAGATCTAAGGAAGTAATGCTACCCCTCTATTCTGCTTTGGTTAGACCACACCTGGAATATTGTGTCCAATTCTGGGCACCACAATTCAAGAGAGATATTGACAAGCTGGAATGTGTCCAGAGGAGGGCGACTAAAATGATCAAGGGTCTGGAGAACATGCCCTATGAGGAGCGGCTTAAGGAGCTGGGCATGTTTAGCCTGAAGAAGAGAAGGCTGAGAGGAGATATGATAGCCATGTATATGTGAGAAGCCCCAGGGAGGAGGGAGCAAGCTTGTTTTCTGCTTCCCTGGAGACTAGGACGCAATGGAACAATGGCTTCAAACTACAAGAGAGGAGATTCCATCTGAACATGAGGAAGAACTTCCTGACTGTGGGAGCCGTTCAGCAGTGGAACTCTCTGCCCCGGAGTGTGGTGGAGGCTCCTTCTTTGGAAGCTTTTAAGCAGAGGCTGGATGGCCATCTGTCAGGGGTGATTTGAATGCAATATTCCTGCTTCTTGGCAGAATGAGGTTGGACTGATGGCCCAGGAGGTCTCTTCCAACTCTTTGATTCTATTTTATGACACTATAGCAAAGTACTGGATTACTTGATTCCCCAGATTCCCTCTCCTGCTGCAATGGTTAGACTTTCCCTTTGGTTAGACCAATGCTCCCTTCCTCCAGGAAAACAAGCAGACCCATTGACAGCCTTGTCCCAGGAAGGGGGTGTTTTGCAACCCTCGCAACTTGGGCTTGCTTCTAACCACGGTCCTTTCTTGCGTTTGCAGTTTGGAGCAGACACACAGCAGAGCAAGGTGGCCCCCAGCTCTGCCGCTGCCCGGCCAGCCCTCTCCCTGCGCGGGGAACAGGTAAGAAAACATACCTCATATTCCTCAATCTGGGTGAAGGGGATTTGTTCATCCAGAACCATTGGTCCAACTGGTGTCTTCCTCTTTCCCAGGGTTCCCGGCCAGAGGTCTTCCTGGACCTGGTGGAGCGCCTCACGGTGATCATTGCGGCCAATGTGAGTCAGTTAGGGGGCCAGTTCATTCGGGGAGATAGGGCCACTCTTCCTAGCCTCCATTGAATTGGTTGGGTGGAACTGAGCCTTCTGGCCTTCCCTCCCCAGGGAACACCCATGAAAGTCGACATCCAAGGAGAGATCCGGCTCAAGAGTTTCTTCCCGAACTGCTCCGGTGAGTAAACAGTGCAAGTGTTGTTGGGCGAGTGAGCTTATTAACCAAAGACCCTCTCTATAAATGTACAGCAGAGTCAACTTCTTCGCAGTAGCATAACTGAGCATCAGTAATAAAAAGTGATATAAAGAACAAAACCAGAGACCAATTTTATATCTTTCTTAGGAGGCTTTTCTTGATAGCAAAATAATTTACTTGCACTGTAATTGGGAGGGATAGCCAAATAGGGAGGGAGAGCCAATACTCCAGAGGACAGGAGCAGGATTCAAAACAATCTGTGGACAGACTGGGGGGCAAAAAGGGACAAAGGGTGGCAAAACCCCTGCAGCTGGACCCCATTTCCTACGGGAGCCCCCTCTTTCAGCAGCCTCCACCCCTCAGAGAAACATCTAGTCTGTTTCAGAGGAGACCGGGCCCTGCCTCACCCTAAGAAAATGAAGTTCAACGGGGACAAATGCAAGAGACTCCACTTAGGCAGAAAAAAGGAAATGCAAAAAGAAACAGAATGGGGGACAATGAGGCCCGGCTCGAGAGCAGTACATGTGAAAAAGACCTTTGAGTCCTTCGTGAACCAGGAAAGTCATGTGGTGGCAAAAAAAAAGCTAATGGGATTCTGGCCTGCATCAATAGGAGCCTAGTGTCTAGATCTAGGGAAATCATGCTCCCCGTGCTCTATTCTGCTTTGGTTAGACCACACCTGGAATATTGTGTCCAGTTCTGGGCACCACAATTCAAGAGAGATATTGACAAGCTGAAATGTGTCCAGAGGAGGGCAACTAAAATGATCAAGGGTCTGGAGAACAAGCCCCATGAGGAGCGGCTTAAGGAGCTGGGCATGTTTAGCCTGAAGAAGAGAAGGCTGAGAGGAGACATGATGAGGGCCATGTATAAATATGTGAGAGGAAGCCATAGGGAGGAGGAGGGAGCAAGCTTCCTTTCTGCTTCCCTGGAGACTAGGATGCAATGGAACAATGGCTTCAAACTACAAGAGAGGAGATTCCATCTGAACATGAGGAAGAACTTCCTGACTGTGAGAGCCGTTCAGCAGTGGAACTCTCTGCCCCGGAGTGTGGTGGATGCTCCTTCTTTGGAAGTTTTTAAACAGAGGCTGGATGGCCATCTGTCAGGGGTGATTTGAATGCAATATTCCTGCTTCTTGGCAGAATGGGGTTGGACTGGATGATGGCCCATTGATTCTAGGTACAAAAACAAGGTTTACATAACACAAAGTTCAACCTTCACACTGGAGCTTCACACACGATGGCCTTCAACCTGGGGCTTCTCTCACCGAAGCTTCTCCCACTGAGGCTTTCTCCCACTGAGGGCTCTCTCAGACTGAGAGCTATTAAGCAGGCCTAGCCCTTGATTCCCAGGTTTAGGATCAAGAATTAGCTTCCACTTAGAATCAAAGAATTGGAAGAGACCTCATGGGTCATCCAGTCCAACCCCATTCTGCCAAGAAGCAGGAAAATTGCATTCAAAGCACCTCCGACAGATGGCCATCCAGTCTGCTTAAAAGCCCCCAAAGAAGGAGCCTCCACCACAATCTGGGGCAGAGAGTTCCACTGCTGAACGGCTCTCACAGTCAGGAAGTTCTTCCTCATGTTCAGGTGGAATCTCCTTTCACTTCTCCTGCTCCTCCTATGCAGGCAGGGCATGCTCTTCTTTGAGGAATTCTGCCCCTCCCCACCACCACGTGCCCCTGAGAAGGAGGGGGCCCTACTTTACCCCATGATTGACAGCTTCAAAATTGACATTGACAAACTGACCCAAGAGCCCCTTCCAACGCAAGGAGGCAAAGCGTTTGTGACGAGCTCCATGGCTTCCCTTGCAGAGATGCGGGTGGGCCTCTCGGAGGAGTTCTGCGTGGGCAAGATGGAGCTCCGGGGTGAGTGCCAGCCCCTTCCCTTGTCCTCCCCCTCCCCTTGGGCTCCACCCCCCTTGAAGCTGCCCCCCTTCTCTCCTGCCCAGGCTACGGTACGGCGGTCCGAGTGGACGAGTGCTCCTTCCACAGCTCCGTGAGGCTGGATGAGTTTGAGCGCAGCCGCGTCCTGAGGGTGACCCCCAGCCAAGGGGAGGTAAAGGGGGGGGGGGGGGGGGAGGAAGAGGGGACCACAAGAGAGTGGGTGGGTGTCCAATTGAGGATCCTGATCCCCCCCACCCCTCTTTTTGAGCAGCTGACCCTGATGCAGTACCAGCTGGCTGACCACTGCCCCACCGCCCTGCCCTTCCACCTCTTCCCCACCGTCCACCACGACCTTCCCAGTGGCCGGTGAGTGTGCTTTTGTCTGGGGAGAGGGGAGGGGGCTGGGTCCAAATTGCCCCCTCCCTCAGCTCTTTGGGGGTTTTTGGTGGCCTCGATATGCATTGTGGGGGCACTTGGCTGCCATTGCTGCAGGGCAGGTGGGAAAGGCCAGGTGTGCCCTCACTTCTGCCCATGCTTTCCTCCTTCTGTAGGGTGCAAGTCTACCTCAAGCTCCGCTGTGACCTGCCACCCAAGAGGTAAGCCACCTTCAGAGAGGGCAGATATGTGTGTCGGAGATTAACATTAATAATTAACTGGGTTTTTTTAATTACAAAAGCAAGTCAAGCAATGAAAGTAAGTAGGTCGAAGCCTGTTAAGAGCCAGTGGGCCAAAGCTAGTGTCGTTCTGAGGAGAGCGAGTAGGCCAAAGCCTGTTAAGAGCCAGTGGGCCAAAGCTAGTGTCGTTCTGAGGAGAGCGAGTAGGCCGAAGCCTGTTAAGAGTTAGTAGGCCAAAGTTAGTGTCGTTCCGAGGAGAGCGAGTAGGTGGGCCAAAGCTAGTGTCGTTCTGAAGAGTGTATGTAGGCTGAAGTCTGTTAAGAGTCAGTGGGCCAAACCTAGTGTTGTCCTGAGGAGAGTGAGTAGGCCGAAGCCTGTTAAGAGTCAGTGGGCCAAAGCTAGTGTCGTCCTGAGGTGAGTGAGTAGGCCGAAGCCTGTTAAGAGTCAGTGAGCCAAAGCTAGTTTTGTTCTGAAGAGAGTGAGTAGGCCGAAGCCTGTTAAGAGTCAGTGAGCCAAAGCTAGTGTCGTTCTGAAGAGAGCGAGTAGGCCGAAGCCTGTTAAGAGTCAGTGAGCCAAAGCTAGTGTCGTTCTGAAGAGAGCGAGTAGGCTGAAGCCTGTTAAGAGTCAGTGAGCCAAAGCTACTGTTGTTCTGAAGAGAGCGAGTAGGCCGAAGCCTGTTAAGAGTTAGTAGGCCAAAGTTAGTGTCGTTCTGAAGAGAGGGTGTAGGCTGAATGAAGCCTGTTAAGAATCAGTGAGCCAAAGCTAGTGTCGTTCTGAAGAGAGCGAGTAGGCCAAAGCCTGTTAAGAGTCAGTGAGCCAAAGCTAGTGTCGTCCTAAAGAGAGGGAGTAGGCCGAAGCCTGTTAAGAGTCAGTTGGCCAAAGCTAGTGTCGTTCTGAGGAGAGAGAGTAGGCCAAAGCTTGTTAAGAGTCAGTGGGCCAAAGCTAGTGTAGGTCCAAGGAGAGTGAGTAGGCTGAAGCCTGTTAAGAGTTAGTGGGCCAAAGCTAGTGTTGTTCTGAGGAGAGTAACAGGCCAAAGTTAGTGTCGTTCTGAGGAGAGTGCTACAGTAGGCCAAAGCCTGTTAAGAGTTAGTGGGCCAAAGCTAATGTCGTTCTGAAGAATTTGTAGGCCAAAGCCTGTTAAGAGTCAGTGAGCCAAAGCTAGTGTCGTCCTGAGGAGTGTGAGGTAAACCTCTGTGTGAGAGAAGCCTCATGTCAGAAAGCTCCAGTATGAAGGCTACTGTGTATTTGTTTACGTCTTTTACTATATTATTTGGCTACAAAGAAAAGCCTCCTATGGAAGGGATAATAACATTGGTCTGTGTGTTTTTGTTCTTTTCGATTACTCTGGGCTTCTGGTTTGGGTCACACTGCTCCTGCTAAGTTGGTGATGTACATTTATGAGGAGGGTGTTTGCTAATAAGCCCACTCGCCCAACATGTGAGCACCCCAAAATACAGAGAGACCCTCATCTCCCTTCTCTCTCTCTCTCTCTCTCTCAGCCATGCTGTCAACGTCCATGTCCACCTCCCGGTCCCCAAAGCAGTGCTGAGGTAATCCTGGTGCCCATCTGGGCAATGTCCGGCCTCTGCCTTTCAGGCCGAGGAGGGGTCACCCCACTGGGGCAGGGGGATGATCACTTGCCTGTTCCTCCCTCCCACCCAGCCTCTCCCAGGAACTGAGCAGCCCTGAGCAGACGGCCGCCCTGCAGACCAGCACCAAGTCCGTCGAGTGGGTCGTGCCCCGCATCCAGGGGGGCTCCCAGCTCTCTGCCCTCTTTAAGGTGAGTGTGGGGCAAGGGAGGCTGGCCGAGGTCAGTTAGAGATGCCTCTTGTTCCCTCTCACGGCCTTCCTGCCTCCTTTCCGCAGCTGGAAGTGCCCGGCCTGAGCCGCGGAGGCCTGCGGGAGCTGGGCCCGGCCAACCTGTCCTTCGAGGTGCCGGCCTTTGCCTGCTCGGGGCTGCAGATCCGCTTCCTGCGCTTCGTGGGGCCCCAGAGCAGCCTCCCCCACCGCTGGGTGCGCTACGTGACCCACAGCGATGCCTACGCCATACGCCTCAACGCGGGGTCATAGCAGCCACCGGGACAGAGAAGGACAAGCCCGCAGGTGCTTGGCACAAAACAACTTTATCCCAACAGGAGTCAACAAGCAGAGCCAGGAAAACAGCCCAGAACTCTGCAAATAAGTGCAACGGAAACAGTCCCACAATGGCCCCCTCCAACCTTCCTTCTGAGGGAAGTGGCCTGGGAGAAAGAGCAAGCGACGCTCAACTTCAGCCTCACAAACTGGCCCCGAGGCACAAGGCACTGACCGATGGGGACAACACAGTCTCAGTCGTTCTGCAAAGAAGAGAGAGACCTCAATGGACACAATGCCCTTTCCCGGACTTAGCAAAAGGTCTGCATTTAGCTCACCCCCAACACAGGCTTCTCGTGTACAGTGTTCCCTCACTTAGTGCGGGGGGTTAATAATAATAATAATAAAATTTATTTATTTATTTATTTATTTCGTGTACTTCTACCCCGCCCTTCTCAACCCCTGCACTAAGGGAGGGACTCAGGGCGGCTTACAAAAAGGCACAATTTGATGCCCACACAATAATACGAATAAACGTGTAAAACAGCAATTAAAACAATTAAAACAATTAATATATATCACAGTCAATAAACCAATCTCAAGGTCAGCATTCACCAACTCAGAGCCCATATTTCGTTCTACATTATCTATTCTGATCGGTCGTCGTAGTCCTTTATTTATCTGCCAGATTGCCCAAACGCCTGGTCCCAAATCCATGTTTTTAATTTCCTTCTAAAGGAAAGGAGGGATGTCGCTGATCTAATTTCCCCGGGGAAAGAATTCCACAGGTGAGGGGCCACCACCGAGAAGGCCCTGCTCCTCGTCCCCGCCAATCTCGCTTGTGATAGAGGCGGGGCCGAGAGTAGGGCCTCCCCAGAAGATCTTAAACTCCGAGGCAGGACCTAGAGGGAGATCCGTTCGGACAGATACCATATAGGGTTTTGTAGGTCAAAACCAGTACTTTGAATTGTGCTCGGAATTGAATCGGCAGCCAGTGGAGCTGACATACCAGAGGGGTAGTATGCTCCCTGTATGACGCTCCTGTAAGTACTCTGGCTGCCTCCCGCTGGACTAGTTGGAGTTTCCGAACAGTCTTCAAAGGCAACCCCACGAAGAGTGCGTTGCAGTAATCTAATCTGGGTGTATTTATACCCTGCCACCATCTCCCCAAGGGACTCGGAGCGGCTTACATGAGGCCAAGCCCAACAACACATCAATAAAAACAAGAAAGCAATAAACACCCCCCCCCCCCACAATAAGGGAAAATCCATGAAATAGGGACGTCATATTAATTTTAATATTTATACATTATTTTATATATTATTTTCCTACCCACACTTCCTTACCCACCGCCCGGCCTCTCCCAAATTTATTTATTTATTTACAATATTTATATTCCGCCCTTCTTCTCACCCCGCAGGGGACTCGGGGCGGATTATAGTGTACACATATATGGCAAACATTCAATGCCAATTTGACATACCACGTATACAGACATACACAGAGGCTATTTAACTTTTTCTGGCCGCCAGGGGAGCTGTCGCTTTCATCGTCCATCTGTGACACTGATGAAGTACCTCTGCATTCCCCGCATGCTTCCCGCTGGAGTCTTTTTTATGGCCTCATAAATTAGTTAATTTAGCCTCCCCACATAAGGTGGTACCTAATTTTCCTACTTGACAGATGCAACTGTCTTTCGGGTTGCAAAGGTCGACAACCGGCTACACAATTGGTTGGAAGCCCACTCCAACCCAGGCTGGCTTCGAACTCATGCCCTTTGGTCAGAGTAATCTTAATGCAGCTGACACTCAGCCAGCTGCGCCACAATCCCGGTGCCAAAGGCGCCTGACTGCCTCCCTGGCCTCCACAGACCCCTGCAGATCCTCCAACGTTATGCAAGCAGCAGCAGGCCAGGGAGGGAGGCCTTCCTTGCCGCACTTCTGGGGTCTCTGGCCTCCACTGGACGTAAATATTTTATATTAATATTTTCAAAAACCCGCGAAACAGCAAATCCGCTAAAAGCGAGCCGCAAATAGCAAGAGAACACTGTACAGCTAGCCTATCCGGGGGGGGGGGGGGGGGGGGGGTGGGGGGGGGGGGGGGGAGCCTATCATCCCTGTCACTGGACAAGCCCACACTCTCATGGCCCTCCTTTTTGGGGGGGAATCCTGGTGATCAGGCTAAATAAAAAGGAAGGGGAAAAGCAAGAGAAAAGCATACACCTCTCCCCACACACCCAAAGCAAGAGCTCCCTGATGATCCAAAACTCCTCCTGGAGAGGAAGTCCTAACAGAGGAGCTGCAGGAAATGGGCCGCCTGGGTCCATATGTCCCCCCCTCTCCACAACCATTGAGCCCCCCCTCACCTGTCCAGAGGCAAAGCCGTCATCTTTTTCCTCCTCGACCTCGCTGCTCTCTAGGCTCTCGATCAGGACCTCTTCAGCTTCCATCAGCTGCTGCCTGTGGGGCATAAATGGGGAAGGGGAGGGGGGTTGTCTCTGCCTCCATCTCCCCAGCAGTATTATTATTAACTTTATTTATACCCCACCTTTCTCCCTTGGGGACTCGAGGCAGCTAAGAATCCCACACTTAGTCAAGTTTTAAATGCACAATACAAAATTCATTAGGAACAATGTGGTAAAGTGGATTAAAATACAATAAAAAAGGTAAAAGTTTCCCCTGACGTCAAGTCTAGTTGTGTCTGACTCTGGGGGTTGGTACTCATCTCCATTTCTCATCCGAAGAGCCAGCGTTGTCCATAGACGCCTCCAAGGTCATGTGACCGGCATGACTGCATAGAGCCCCATTATGTCCCTGCCAGAGCAGTACCTATTGATCTACTCACATTTGTATGTTTTCAAACTGCTAGGTTGACAGAATAATAATAATAACACTTTATTTGTACCCTGATACCATCTCCCCAAGGGACTCGGTGCGGCTTACATGAGGCTGAGCCCGAAATCACAACAATACAAGCAATTAAAATAAAACATAAACATATAACATTATCAATAAGACAACATACAATTAAAACTATGGGAAGGCCAAATGTAGAATTAAAATTGGAAATAGTGCTGAACATGGACGAACAGGTGATAGTGGCGTTTGTTGAGAGACATATGAGCAGACCTATTAAGCTGGGGCTAATAGCGGAAACTCACCCTACTCCCCAGGTTTGGACCACTGACCTTTCAGTCAGCAAGTTCAGCAATAATTACATTTAATTGTCGAAGGCTTTCATGGCTGGAATCACTGGGTAGTTGTAGGTTTTTTTGGGCTCTATGGCCATGTTCTAGAGGCATTCTCTCCTGACGTTTCGCCTGCAACCCTATGGCAAGCATCCTCAGAGGTAGTGAGGTCTGTTGGAACTAGGAAAATGGGTTTATATATCTGTGGAATGACCAGGGTGGGACAAAGGACTCTTGTCTGCTGGAGCTAGGTGTGAATGTTTCAACTGACCATCTTTATTAGCATTTGATGGCCTGGCTTGAGAGGTGATTAGATTAGCTCCAGCAGACAAGAGTCCTTTGTCCCACCCTGGTCATTCCACAGATATATAAACCATTTTCCTAGTTCCAACAGACCTCACTACCTCTGAGGTTGCTTGCCATAGATGCAGGCGAAACGTCAGGAGAAAATGCCTCTAGAACATGGCCATATAGCCCAAAAAACTACAACAATCCAGTGATTCCAGCCATGAAAGCCTTCGACAATACAACAATAATAATAATAATATAAATAACAATAATATATAATATTATGACTCCCCAACAATTGTACCTTTTCATTGCTATCTCATCCAGTGTTTTATCATTTTATGTCGTGCATTTGGCCCGCCCACTGTGTTTTATTTTCCATTATGTTATTTTGTACTGTTTATTTTACTTGATTGGTTTATTTATTTTATTGTGATGTTATTTTGTTGTTTATATTTTATGTTGCTGTAATGTATCGCTGGGCTTGGCCTCATGTAAGCCACTCTGAGTCCCCTTTGGGGAAATGGTGGTGGGGTAGAAATAAAGTTTATTATATTATTATTACTATTACTATATTATTATTATTATTATTATTATTATTATTATTATTATTATTATTATTATTATTATTATTATTATTATTATTTCTAGACTGCCCTCTCTCCCCAAAGGGACTGAGGGTGGTTTACACTTACAAAAAGGCAAGCATTCAATGGCTCAGGTGAGTAATAATAATAATAATAATAATAATAATAATAATAATAACAACAACACTTTATTTGTACCCCGCTACCATCTCCCCAAGGGACTCGGTGCGGCTTACATGAGGCCGAGCCCAAATACAACAATACAAACAGTAATAACAACAATACAAGCAATTAAAAATAAAACATGGACAATACAATAATGCAACATTAACAATAAGACCACACGATTAAAAACTATGGGAAGGCCAAATGTAAAATTAAAATGGAAAGTATTGTCGAAGGCTTTCATGGCTGGAATCACTAGGTTCTTGTGGGTTTTTTCGGGCTATAGAGCCATGTTCTAGAGGCATTTCTCCTGACGTTTCGCCTGCATCTATGGCAAGCATCCTCAGAGGTAGTGAGGTCTGTTGGAATTAGGACAATGGGTTTATATATCTGTGGAATGGCTGGGGTGGGGCAAAGAGCTCTTCTCTGCTGGAGCTAGGTGTGAATGTTTCAACTGACCACCTTGATTAGCATTTAATGGCTTGGAAGTGCCTGGGGGGAATCTTTTGAGAGTGATTTGATGTGCCTGATTGTTTACTCTCTGTTGTTTTGCTGTTGTAATTTTTAGAGTTTTTTAATACTGGTAGCCATTTTGTTCATTTTCATGGTCTCTTCCTTTCTGTTGAAATTGTCCACCTGCTTCTTGTGGATTTCAAGGAAGAGACCATGAAAATGAACAAAATCTGGCTACCAGTATTAAAAAACTCTAAAATTACAACAGCAAAACAGCAGAGAGGAAACAACCAGGCACATCTTAACACCTCTCAACAAAAGATTCCCCCAGGCTCAGCTAATGAAGGTGGTCAGTTGAAACATTCACACCTAGCTCCAGCAGAGAAGAGCTCCTTGCCCCACCCCAGCCATTCCACAGATATATAAACCCATTTCCTAGTTCCAACAGACCTCACTACCTCTGAGGATGCTTGCCATAGATGCAGGCGAAACGTCAGGAGAAATGCCTCTGGAACATGGCTCTATAGCCCGAAAAAACCCACAAGAACCTAAAATGGAAAGTAATGCTGGAACATGGGCGAAAAAGTGATGGGGCGTTTGTGGAAAACATATGAGCAGACCTAAAATGTAAAGGTATGCTGAAGTTCTTACCGGTCTGGTCTTCGGCCCAGAAGGAGCCCACTGTGGTCCCTCTTCATGGG